CGGCGGAGAGCTGCGCGAGGTTGTGCGGGGAGTCTGCCGGGCTAAAGGGGTGGGCATGTGGCGCTCTGCCTTAACTTCATGTTGTGTGGCGAATGTGCGTCCTGCAGTAGTATAACGGTATTAATAAGGGTACTATAGGCTTGGCTTGGTGGTAAAGAGAATTTGTACTCGCAGGTGTTTCCCGGAACACGGCTCCCACTGTCGCATATTTGTACGCTCACGTCCCGTTAATTGCACAGAGTCCATCGGGTTTTGTCCAGGTCAGAGCTGGATCCACTGAAAATTCAACACTGGCCTTGAAATGTGTGACTCGCGCCAGTATTTGGGGGCAAGAATTTTGGCCGTGCCCTTGACTTCCGCCAGTATATCGGGGCGAAGCATTCGCGCAGCAGTCACCCATCGCAAGTACACCAGTACAAGGGGGAAAGCATGGCACGGGTGTGTCTCTGGATCTGCCAGCAGATCGGGGAAGCGCTTTGGCCGTGCTCCTGAATTGTGGTGGTCGTGGGGCCAGTATCATAATACTGGGATTTCTATGGGATTGTCGAAGTCGCTTCAGAGGGTTCTGTGGTTGCTTTATGAGGGTTCAATAGGTTTGTTTATTTGTCGGCTTCAGGAAGGTTTGCTCCCCACTAGACCATAAAGCCCAAAGTCGAGGGTTCCGGGGTTTAGAGCTGAGGTCACGGCGCACGCCTGGCTGCTCAGGACCGCCTCGCCGTCACTGTGAATGCGGCTCTCCGGTAGGGATTTGGGGATTGAGAGCTTCGGGGTGGGTCGATTTAGAAGGGCCGGTTCTCCGATTCGTTGAGGAATCTTGTGCGGCTTGGAGGAGTTTTTTGGCTGTGCTGTTGCCAAAAAGTCGGAAGGCACCTAAAGCTGTCCGGCGTGGTGCAATCTTTTGCTTCGAGTCCTTTGGTGGTGTCCTCATATAGAAGCCTAAATAATGTACTTGCCAATGGTATTTTGGGGGTTCCTTAGTATAATTATAGCATAATAAAACCCCAAAACCCTATTCTAGTCATTAGGGACCCTACAATCGTGTCTCATGTCTCAATTTTTGAGGGCCCGGGAGGCTAGAAGCTTCGAGATCAAGCCAGGAGGCAATGTGGGTCGTTCTCTAAATTAGGGTCCCGTTTAGGGTGCTGCTTATATGATATGGGTGCCGTACTATATTGGGGACTTCAGAAGGTCCCTTTTTAGGTCCGCAATGGAGTACGGCACCCTTATGAAAAGGACCCTAAAAGGGAGCCTACTTTAGAGAACCACTCAGGGAACCCGGGAATCCCGACCCCTTTTTTTTAGGGAAGTTCCCCAGACCCCCGAAGCCCAAACTCTAAACTCTCAACCCGAGGAGTTTTTTTGGGAAGTGAGGCTTGCGAAGCCACCTGTGTTGAATCATCTTTCTACTGGCCTGCTGCCACACCTCTCAAAACCCCTCGAAAAGTCCGTAGAGTTGCATGTCATGTAGTCATCATAGGGGACTCCTGACTTAAGCAGCTTTTCCGGGTGATGTCAGGCACATTTCTACAAAAACTCATCCGAGAAGAGTCCACCTGCCAGCAACCGGCCTGAAACCCTAAACCCTAAACTCTAGACCCTAAACCCAAGACCCTAAACCCCAAACCCTAAACCCCAAACCGTAAACCCTAAACCCCAAGCCCTAAACGCTGATGGTCCGACCCCCAGTGAACCCTTCAACTGGTTTCGGTATCAGGGTTAGGCTTTAGGGTTTTAGGGGTTAGGGTTTGGGGTTTAGAGTTTAGGGTTTAGGGTTCAGGGTTAGGGTTTAGGGATTAGGTCTTAGGGTTTAGGGATTAGGTCTTAGGGTTTAGGGTTTAGGGTCAAATCCTAAACTCTAAACCCGCAAACCCTTAACCCTAAACCCTTAAAGCCTAGTAGACTCTAAGCCCTAAGCCCAAGCATACACCTAAGCTCAGAGCCATCCGAAGCCCAACTGCGCAGTACTGCCATTCTCCAGGGTTTCCGAATCCTTTGATGGTTCAGGGTTTAGGGCTCAGAAGACGAAAGCCCCTAATCACTGAACCTGAGCCCATATGCAGCACTAGGTCCCAAACAGCATCAAATCTCAACGTCGAGCCCTTATCTTGAAACCCATTTCCCAAAACAACGGACAAGGAACACAAGGGTCTGCATTAAGGCCTAACGGCCCAAAGTGGGTTTGGGTGGGAAAGGACTACGCCAGCTCTTTTGGTCAGGCACCGCGGCTGCGGGGCTTTTTGCCGGGAAGGGGGGGCAATTTGGCATCAGATTTGAGCGAATTTGAAGGGTTATTTTCGGGTGAGGGGGGAAACCCTAAACCCGAAACCCCTAAACCCCTAAACCCCTAAACCCCTAAACCCCTAAACCCCTAAACCCTAAACCCCAAACCCTGGTGGAGGGTTTGGGCATTTTTCCCGGGTTTGTGGCGCCTTCGTCTCTCTTGTGGCACCTGTGGCCCCGGGAGTGGTTCGTAGATCTGGGTCTGCGTTGCTTCGGGCCAAAGGTTGCTGTGGGGGTGGGGGGGGGGCCATGCTGCGTTCCTTTTTTTTTTTTTAATGGTTTAGGGTCTATAGGGTTTATAGGGTTTATAGGATCTATAGGGTTTATAGGGTCTATAGGGTTTAGGATTTAGGGGTTTAGGGTTTAGGGTTGAAGGGCTTTATGGAGCCAATCCCACCACCTGCATAGCAAAGCAGTTCAAGACGCCAGATCCAATACGCCAAGCCCCCAAAAGCAATCATCGACCATCAAAGCTTCAATGCGCTCGCAGGTTTACAAACGATAGGTGCAGTACAGGGCACTTTGCAAACCTGGTCCCAGGCTCTTCAAGGTTAAGCCCTGAAGCCTAAACGCTGAACCCCTAAACCCTAAACCCTAAACCCTAAAGCCTGCAGCCTAAACCTAAACCACTAAACCTTAAACCCTAAACCCTAAGCCCTAAAGCCTAAAAGCCATAAGCCATAACCACAATCCAGAGCCATAAACCATTACCATAAACCCTAAGCGGGTTTAACTCAAGCAACCTTGTCTCTGAAACCGTTTTTTCACTAGCGCCAATGTGAGGATGAGTCTCCTAGCCATGCCCGGCGCCAAGTACCGGGGCTCTGGATCCATCCGCCTTAACATAGGGTTTAGGGTGTGTAGGGGTTTAGGGGTTAGGGTGTAGGGTGTAGGGTGTAGGGTTTAGGGTTTAGGGTGTGTAGGGAGAGGATCATGGGACTTAGTAGTTAGGGTTATAAATCCGGTAACTATAGTCATATTTAATTGTAACTCCAATAAAGGCACTTATAACCCTTACTTACTAAGTCCCATGATCCTCTGAGGAGGGTTTAGGGTTTCGGGCTTCGAGACTTGATGCTTTGGGCTTCCGGCTCGCCGTCTGGGGGCCATGGCGGGGATGAAGAGGGTTTAGGGTTTAGGGTTTAGAGTTTAGGGTTTAGGGTTTGGGGTTTAGAGTTTAGGGTTTAGGGTTTAGAGTTTAGGGTTTAGGGTTTAGGGTTTTTGCTCAGACCTTGGAGCTTAGCGGCTTAGCGCCGGATGCAATATAGTAATACTCCTCTCGCCTCGTCCCTAGACAATGACTGTACTATGTGCTCGTATTGCTCAGATCTGGCTATACCCTTCTCATGTATAGTCCATATATGACTGTACTATGAGATCACCCAAAAACCCATTCCGATTCCCCTAGACCCTAAACCCTGGGCAGTCTCGCAATCTGGAGCCTTCTTGGTTCAATGAGGGTTTAGGGTTTAGGGTCTAGGGTCCTGAGCCAGCCTCAACTGGCCTAAACCGCAACCCTCAAGCCCCAGACCCTAAACCCTAAAC